TATTATTATTATTATTATTATTATTATTATTATTATTATTATTATTATTATTATTATTATTTGCATAGACTGCAATTTTGTTTTGTGTTAAACATAATCCTCAAGTAATTTATTGATTCTGTTAATTAATTTCTCAGTTAATACTTTTAAATCGGCAAAGGTCCTAAAACTTACCCCAAACCTCCTTTACTGAAAAATAGTTTTGTGAACGATAGAAGCATTTGGAGAAGTTACTACAGGGTTCATCAAAACACCTGCAACGGTACATGTTATTATGGTAGGATCTAATGATATTTCCTGAAATGAGGCAATTAATATGCTAAATGGTTTAAAAAAGTTGCTACACAGTGAAGAGAACTGTAAATGTGAACACATAATAGTGAATTTACCTAATAGATATGATCTAACAGTAAAATAGTGTGCGAATAGGGAAGTAAAAGAAACAAACAAGATGCTAAAATTGTTGTGTTCTTTGTACTCAACTATGACTTTGGTTGATATAGGGGAATTAAAGAAAGAGTTACATACTCGCCATGGTCAACATCTAAATGCTACTGTGAACAATAGGGTAAATATTATAATTTAAGAATGCGGATGGAAATGTGGAATGCATCCTGTGCTAGACTAGAATTTAGTTTAATTAATTTAAACACATAAAGGGAAGTATTTAAAATCATGGGAATATACAATCTCCAAACTCATACACAACAGAATTCTTGAATAAGTTGGAAGGGCTACTAAAAAAACTAGATTAATATAAAAGTAAAATAGTAATAGTAGGAGACTTAGATATAGACAACAGAAAATAATCTAGGAGATATACTTAAGGGATTTTACATTCATGTCGTAATACTTGGACCTACATGAATTACAGAAAACTAGTTGTGCCATAGATCACACATTAATCGATATAAAACAGAGAAACTATAAAGCATATAATCTAAATGTTCAAATTTGTAACCACAAAGGGCGAATAATTGATATTTTTGACTGTAAATCTCACAAAACAAGTATAAAATTCTCATTTGCTAGACATTACACAGAAAATATCTTTCTAAACTTCATGAATCACTCAAAAGTGAAGAATGGACTGAAGTTTACTCAGAACAAAACTCGCATAACAATTGGAATATGTATCTTAAAATATTACAAAATCACCTATATTATACATGTAAAATTAAAACAAAAGCAGTCATCAAACAAATAAAAAATTAACATTATCAAATAAAGTTACTGAAATTGAAGAAAAAATGAAAGAATCGTTCATATAATTTATTTTTGTGTATTTAAATAAACATAAGTGAATGCTATAAAGACTACAGAAAATTGTATCAAAAATAATTAAGAATTGCAAATGCAAACAAGATTAATACCAAAATAAGAAATGCAAAAAATAAATCCAAAGTATGTTGGAATTTTGTAAATAATACAAGTAAATAAACAACTAAACACAATAATATAAAGCTGTTCCATGAAAGTGAGTTAGTGAGTGATCCTAATTGTAGCTAATTTGTAGAGTGTTCAAAAATAATTTCCTAAACACAGGTACTGAAATAAACAGTTGCACAGAAATGTGTTTAAATTCCAAATTTAAACATTCATTGTATCTAGCAGAGCACAGATGCCAGAGAAAAAAAAAAAACTGATCGCAACACTAAATAATAGTAAAACAAATGCATGGGATGAGATTACACCAGAAATAGTGAAAAAATGCAAGAACTCTCTAGTAAAAATTTTAGTTCACCTAATTAGCGATTCGCTAGATACATTGTTTTTCCTGATTCACTGAAAATTAGTATTGTGTGACCAATATTTAAGAAGGATAATGCTGCTGAAGTTGGGAACTATAGACCAATAACTCTTAGGTCATGTTTTGCTTAATGATTCAAGAAAGTAATAGCAGTTAAAATGTACAAATTGTTTTGGAAAAAACTAACCTGTTAAATAATGAACAACACGGATTCAGGAAGGATAAATCCACTATTACTGCAGTTGCCAAGTTTATTCATGACATAATTAATAATCTAGAAAATAACTTTTTTACTGTAGGTATATTCGTGGACTTTTAAACGCTTTTTATAGTTTTTTAATATTCATGATATACTAAGGTCATTCCTTACAAACCATATCCAAAGTTTGTTCGACAAAAATACTGGGAAACAGCAAATTTCATTTATAAAGTTAAGTCTAATTTTGCCCTAGTTACAGCAGGAATTCTACAAAGATCAGTATTGGGGCCACTACCATTTCTAATATACATGAATGACATTCCATCTTCAAAAAATAAACTGATTTCATTCAAAGATGACAACGTTAATCAGTTGTAATAAATACATAATAGAATTAAAAGAAAATATGACAGATGCAATGCATCAAATTTCTAGATCCTGAAGTCACAATAATCTAAATTTAAACTAAACAAAACACACATGGTACAATTTAGTCACCACCAGCAAAACCAAAATTACAACATGAATATTAATATAAACAATCAAAGGATACACCAAGTGCAAAGCCACAAATTTCTTGGAATCCTCAACAACCAAAATCTAATACATAATGAACACATCGATGTCATATGCAAAATAATTATTTCTAACATTTACTTACTACGAAACCTCTCATAGTGAAAATGGTCATTACTATATGCTATGGCATTATACTCCGTCACATTCAATATGGGATTAAATATGGGGAGCAACTAATATAGGGCACATGGACAGGGTTATGATAGTATAGAAATGAGCTCTTAGATGCATATTTCAGCGGCATCCTAACCATTCTTGTTAAAATTTCATTAAAAATACAAAATAATGACTGTTGTTGCAATTTATGCATAGAGGGTAATTATGTTCATGGAAAACAATAAGTCACCTTATTCAAAACAAATATGTATACCAATACAATACAAAGGAAAACTATCACTGGATGTACCCTGCAAAATCCTCCTCAAAGGAGGATACTTATCGGAATGCTGCATTACTACCTCACCCTATTAAGGAGTTAAGGAAGAATAAATTCGAAAAAGCACTAAAAAAATATTGAATTGAAACTTGCTCATATAAATTAAAGGAATTAACATAGGTAAAGAGGGCAATGCTACAATAATTATATCTTCTTAACTTAAGGATAAATTATTATATTTCTTTAGGATAAGAAATTTAGGTTTAGATTGTCATTTCTATTACTATATGAAATGTAAATAATTGTGGAAATTGTTAGAGAAAGAAAATTGAATGTTTACTTACCTATGATGATGCTTCAAAACTTGTAAAATCAAGTTAATCTGAGCAAATAAATTATTATTATTATTACTATTATTATTATTATTATTATTATTATTATTATTATTATTATTGTTGTTGTTGTTGTTGTTCTTGTTGTTCTTGTTGTTGTTCTTGTTGTTGTTGCTGTTCTTGTTATTATTTTATAGGTTCAAGGGTAAATCAAAAGTCTTGATGGGATGTGTGTCATTTCAATTTATGATTTCAAAGGAATTGTATACTATCATATGTATTTTACATTTAGTACTAATTTTTTTTCTTTTTTAAATTGAATACCAGATCTCTTTTGTAAATAAAAATATTTATTAGCAAACAAGCTCTATAAATTCACAAATACACGTAGTTTCATTTCACAAAAATTAAAATTTCATTAATTAATTTTATTGTTTTTGAAGTGTGTATTAATGTACTGAACATTTTTACAGATTACTCCCAGATGATATCTGTAATAAATTAAAGGATTTGAATCTTAAAAGTTCTGAACCTTCTGAAGGGAAGTTAAATATATCTTTGAAACATAATACTTTCTCTGAAGGGAAGTTAAGAGACAATTTTCCCAAAATGAAAGATTCAGAGAAAAATAATTTTGGAGATGACATCAATGAAATAGGTGATCAATTGAGAAATGTTAGAATCACAGAAAAAGAATATAACTTTCCTGTTAAGAATGCAGGAATAGTCCTGAATATTTTGTGTGACAATAATGCTCAGGATAACAAAAACTACAAAATAGGTAGTAATATAAATGATGATCAAGAACAACCACTTTGTAATGAAAAGAAGATATCGAAAACAGATGCATTGAAACATCAAGGAGTGTATAGGAAAGCTAAATGTGATTCTTCATCCTTGGTACATAATGAGGTAGAGAAAGAAGGTGATGAAAGTACTGAGAAAAAGAATTATGTGTCTGAGGATTCTAAAAAAACTGATGAAAAAGTGGTAATTGTTTCTCGAGGGCCTGTTTCCCAAAAGATATATCACCAACCTTATAATGTGAGTACTTTGTCTTATCAAGAAGTTGAGAATAATATCCATAAAAATTAACATAGTGTGTGTAAAGATAATGAAAATCTGAGGTGGTTTTGTCAAAGTTTTCTGAATTCTTTCTTTTAGCCATGTTCTCGTGGTCATCACAGTGGAGGAAGAGTTCGTGTAACAGAGCACCCTTCTCTGCCAACTATGAATGGTTATCAGTCATGGTCTTATAATTCACAATTCAATATTCTTCCAAATGTAAGTGCAAAAGCTGCTCTGCCATTTTTCTCGTTTATTGCTTCCTCTTTCATTTTTTCTTTCCCTGCAGATATATATTCTGACATGTATTGAAAAGGTTAGTCAAGTAAAATTTTTTATTTCTAGGAACAAGAGCAGTATCCTCCTAGTATGGAAACACCTTTTTTACCTGGGGCTGCAGCACCTACTGCAAATATCAATACAACTTCTATACATGATATACAAGGAATTTCTGTTGATGATGAAATTAATTTAACTGTTGGGAAGATACTCCAGGAGCATCCTTACATGGCTAAACTTTGTGACGAATTGAGGTTTGTATAGTCCTTAAATTAAGAGCTTCTCATGTTTCAGATACCCCTCAAAATAGAGGTTAAAAAATATAAACTAGTGCATATGGAACACATTGTAATTACTACTTTTTACCAAAATATTAATGCAGGAGGGAGAAGGAAAAATGGTATGCCTAAGAAATACTTAAAACCACATTCTTTATAGTCATGGAAACTTTCTAATATTATTAATGAGGTCGCTGGTGAGGTAGATACTTTCTAATAATTTAATATGGTAAATTACAGATGTTGTGTGGTATCAAAAAATATATTTTGGTAATGGTTGTTTTGATCATGTAGTGATCATCCTCAGTGCTAAAATTAAAATTACAGAAATAAAATTACATTAATACATAAATTATAAAAATGAAGTATAAGTTATTACAAAATGTTATATACAAAATATTGACATTGTGTGCCAGATGCATAAGCAAACGGGGTCGAAGCTGCAAGGTATGTACAACTAGGTTTGTTTATACCTCTTGCAAACGATGTCACCATTATGTATATAACATTTTGTAACAACTTATACTTCTTTTTTATAATTCATGTATTAATGTAATTCTGTGATTTTAATTTTAGCTCTGAGGATGATTCCTACACAATCAAAACGATCATTAGCAAAATCTATTTTTTATACCAGACAACATCTTTAATTTACCGTATTTCTAATATTAATTAATAATATTTATAGCTACCATTCTTGTTGATCATTAACATGCTTATTGTTGAAATATCTTAAAAAAACAATGCTTTTGGGTTCAGATTTAATTTTAATCATGCATTAACCGTTGATTAAATTGGCAGAGCTGTTCTCTGATTCGAGAAAGTCAAAATAGTGGCTATTATTTTGACTGGTCTGCTAATTTGATACTTTTTAAGTTGAAATAAGAAAAATATTGTTTTCATGAAAATGTTCTTTGTCTCAAGATTTTTATTGTGCTCTTCTGAATACAATATTGAATAACAAAAAAAGTTTTACTTTTCTTATACAACGTATATGGAAGTATATATAACATCGTATATGAAAGTGTTAACGTCTTGCAGATTTTTGTTTTAATGATGAAAAGAAAAGTGAAATTGAATTATATCTGTCAGTGGTGATTTCAAGAGCTTCCACAAGATAAAATATTGTAGCATACTTTTTCATAATTCTTCCATATTATATTTAATTTCACTTTTACTGCATAAGGTCCCAATAAATAAAGTTTATCCTCATTTACTGTGTTTGTACTTAAATCTTTGGTAATTAAATTCAGTTATACCACGTTGTTTGTAAATTTCAATAAAAATATAGTCATAGTTAGGTTGAAAATTTTAGTATTATCTATAGTAATTAACAAAAGTTATATGTAAGTAAGGCAATTTATGCAGGCATGAATGTATTGTATATAAAATGTTGAACATTTTGTTTTGAATTGTTTTAGGTTCGATGCTTGCAACAATACAGGAGGCATGGCTGGAGGCAATAATCAAAACGCAGGGAAGATTACCGTACCTGGTTCTCCTGGGGACAGTGGTTTTTCTGATAGCTCTCCTGGAAGTTGTTATCCCCCATCAGTGGGGTCAGGGACTGATTCAGTTCTAGATACTCCTTCCCCTAGAAATGATTACTCTCCTGAAGTACCATATGATAATCTTGGAATGAGGGTCTCAGACAGTCCGGAGGGGCAAGTTATTGACAAATGGTTTGAGATGTTGCCAACTTGCAATGAAAGACCTGGTCCAAAGGTAGAGCAAGACATGCAGAAGGGATCAACCATGTCGAGTCAAGTTATGCAGCACGGACCACTCCCACATGGCCCACAACAAAGACCACTCCCACCTGCCATAATCTACGACCTGGAAAACCTAAAAGAGATACCAGACATACAAGGCCAGCCAACCATTCCAGACCAGCCAATCGTTTGTGTACGAAACATTCCAGGTAGTAGATTGGGAGCGAGTCCAAACAAAACCCAAGGAACTAGATTCCCTAAAATATTGCCTAAGCCAGATCTATCTTCAGCAAAAGCAAGATTCCAGAACATACTTGACAAGGAACGAAGGTTACTTGCGTGGGTGAAGATAAATGAAAAAGTAATAGCAGATTCAAAGCAATTAGAAAGTCAAGATGCAGAAGGAGATACGTATGTATTCCATTAACTTATTAGGAATACTTTTTGTTTTCATTAATTCTTTCAAATATTCAGACAGCTTTTAATTTTAGTATGAAAGAGTAAGTGTTCATTTTTTCTTGACGTTTCTCAGCCAGATAATCTAAAATGCTTAGTACGGAAAAGAATATCCACATACTTTCTTCTATGAGTGTTAAGCTGTAGGGTCCCTCTGTACCAGAGACTTACAAGCAAGAAATGAGTGTGCAGAACTGATTTATTAAGTATATGCCGCATGTAGATATTGGGCTCAGCCAAAAACTTTTTCTTTTCTTCCCCTGTTTCTTTTCTTCCCCTGTTGTTTCTTTTCTTCCCCTGTTGTTTCTTTTCTTCCCCTGTTTCTTTTCTTCCCCTGTTGTTTCTTTTCTTCCCCTGTTTCTTTTCTTCCGCTGTTTCTTTTCTTCCGCTGTTTCTTTTCTTCCGCTGTTTCTTTTCTTCCGCTGTTTCTTCTCTTGTTGCCTTCTCCATTTCCTTAGTCTTCTTTCCCTTTTCCTTTTCTTCGTTCCCTCACCTCCTCCCCCTTTCCCTTCTCTTCCTCCTTCCCTTCTTACTCTCCTGATTCTTCACCTCCAATCCTAGTCCAGATCAGAAATCTTTTCACCTCTACTACTTCTTTTCTAATCTCTCTTTCCCTTTTCCTGCCTCTTCTCCTTCTCTGTCTAAACTTTCTTCTTATCCTTCCCTTTCGCATTCTCTACAGCCCAGTTACTGCAACATAAAAGCGTGTAATGCTTCAACATTTAGCAGATTATCTGGGGTTGCTAATATAGAAGGTCACCTAATAATCGAGATAAAACAGCAAATCTAAGCTAAAATTGTTGTGAAGTTTAGCTAATGTTATTTGCTGATATTACTAATGAGGGATGGGTGCAGTAATATCAGATGCCAGAAGTGAATTCAAGAGTGAGGGGTGTGAGGGTACCATACCCAAATTACTATTCAATCCATTTGTTTCAAGCGCACAATTGCAAGGATGATCTATTCTGAAATTGAGCCCCTCTCCCAAGACATTTTCTGAATCTGCCCATTCAAATGAGTTTAGCACTTGACTTTCCTTGCAGCTGAATTAATGAATGAAACAATGGAAACTAATAGTATAATGCACTATAAAAAATGATTTTAATAAAAATTTGATGGAAATAAATAATTTAAGGTTGGTCAAAACAGTCAAATTTCGTGTATTAAGAAAATCTTGATTATTAATCTTAATTGGCATATGATTCATGCTCTCATTTTTAAGAAAAAAGTACAAATATATTTCTTACAATAAACTTTTCTTCAATTTTTCTTTTACATTCCTATTTTTCATCTTCAAAAGTTCATGAATATTATTAAGGTATGTATGATCTTAGTGATTCATAAAATTAATTAATTAATTAAATACTAGTGGCTTGAAAACCGAAGTCATAATTACTAAAATGTCATTATAATAAAATAATTATAATAATAATTAAAATAATCGTATAATAAAATATGATGATGATGATGATGATGATGTGTTAGTACATGTGACCTTTCCAATTGGTGTTGATATTTATTAATTTTGTTCAATATTGTTTTTTCTGAGGTTTAAATATTATACACTTTTAAATATAAGGAATTATTCACTCTTACATTTAAATAAGAGTGTTACATTTAATTTGAAGAGAACTTTCTTTGCAGGGACTTGATGATTTTATGCTGCAATAAATCTGAAAGTCATCTGGAAATGATTTATGCAGTGGTAGAAACATTGCGACAAAAGCCTAATTCTCTCACCATTAGAAACAAACAGGGACATTCTGCTTTGTACCTGGCTTGTGAAGTTTTGTATGATGTACCTGAAGTTGCAGCATATATTGCAGAAGCACTAATTGAACAGAAGGTTGATGTGGCAAATGTGAGTAAATTATAATTTTATTTGTTTATTATTTATAGTTAATTAAATTACTCCTACTTTGGTTAATCAATTAAAATGCAATCCTTTCAAAAACTTGTTCTCAAAAAAGATTTTTAATGATGTCTAATTAATTTTCTTCATAATTTTGTAGTTGAAGAAACCTAGTGTTGCCTGGGCAACACCTAATCAATGAAAATGATTGAAGCCTTTCTAAAGTGTTAAATGGAAAGTAATTTTATTTGAATCATCTTCCTGCTCTACTCTGCTTCCCTTTGCCCCGTGCTGCTCCCCTTTCCCCAGTACCACTCCCTGTGCCCCATGCCACTCTTCTTTGCCCCATACAAGGGTTGCTGGGAAAGTTTTGAGAAACACAAAACCTCAGAAACTTGCAATAATTTTGATAACAGTATTTTCTCAAAATACTCACCACAGCAGTATACATTTTTGCATTCTCATAAACCAATTTTAAAAACAGCTTTTCCTCTCATTTTCCTTGAGTGCTAAAATTTCACTTTTGGGGGCATCAACAGCTTCTTCGGGGCTTGAGAACCTCGCAACAGGAACCCCGGGAACAGAAAATCGCATGGGGCTAGGTCAGGACTGTATGGTGGACGAGTCATTCGTTTAACCTCTGTTGACTTCTGTAACTGAATTATGAGGTTGCGTAGATGCATTGTCGTGGTGCGTGATGATTCTCGGCAGTCCTGTCTTCAGTCGCTGTTCTTGAAGTGTGGCGAAAACTTTTAGTAGTCATATTGTTGTATACCACTTAGCAGTAACAGTTCTTTATTCTTCCAGTCATACAGTTATGACATGATCGCTTGTGGAAAAGAATGTAAAAGAATGTTACAGCCATTTTCGTTCTGAGACTTCAAGGTCACAACTTTTATTGGTGGAAGTTAGTGTATTCAGTAGACTGGTGCTTATTTTCAGGATCAAACTGGTAAATCCACATTTTGTTACCAGTATCCATATCAGAAATGTGCCTAGAGTTGCCTTTTTCAAATCTTTTCAACATTTCTTCACACCATTCTACACACACTTTTGTGATTCTGTCAAAGAGTGAGACCTTTTGTCAAGATACAACTTTCTTGACTTCAAGATATTTGTGCAGGGTTTTAGAAACTGCTGCCGATCCAATCTGTTGGGACCCTTATATGTCAAACGATTGTTTTCACGCACTGATTTTTACACAGTGACGATTTTTCTTCAGGCTCTGCAGTCGCCTGCTCCTCTCCTTGTCTTTCAACAAAGTTCTGCCTCTTCTAAATTCTTGAAACAACCGAGAAATTGTTGCACTGGAAGGTGCAAGTTTTCCAAAGGTCTGCTGCAAATAATCAAGGCTTTGAGATTCGTTTAAACCACTCTTAAAGTCATAAAAAATTATTGCTCAAAAGTGCTCTCTGGTCTGTTCCATTCTGACAACTGGGTACTGCGTCAACAAAAAGAAAGGTAGTCCTCTTAGCGATAGTTATAAGCCGAGCAAGTTCCAACTTTCATGCATTACTCAGAAAGGACACAGTGATCGATTCACATTCTTCAAAAGGACCACATCACAGTATATCTTAAAACATACATAGCGACCTCCATACCTCTCCCCTCTTCCCCACACAACTCGTGTCTGGCTCCCATCTTCTTCATCCCGTACCACTCCACCTTGTACCACTTCCCTCTGGCGTAGTTTCCTCAGCCTCTTACCACTTTCCTCTTCCTTTCATCCCTCTCATCTACCTTTCCCCACCCTCTCTCCCTTTCACCCTATTCCACTTTCCTCTGCTTCTCTCTATTCCTCTCTGCCCCATCTGCCTACCTTTGCCCTTACATGCTTCACCGCACCCCATTATGCTGTACCCCAATGTACCGCACCACCCTATGCTCTCCTGGCTTTGCTCTGGTAACTTTTCTCATCCACCCCCATCCTGCCCTCTCCTTCCCTCGTAACAGAACCAATTTTCAATTTTGACCTTCAATTTCTCAGAATATTATTTAATTGAAATCTATTCAGAGGGAAATTTAATCGGCTTTCAAAAAACCTTAAACCATCCAGAGCCTATTGCATACTTGTTTTTTTTTTAAATATTCACAATAAACATTATATTTTTTCTTCACCCCTTCTTCTATTAATTATAGTTGGAGATAGGCCACATCCCTGTTTATGTCCCCTGCTTATTAACATGCCCCTCCAACCTGTACTATTCTCCTCTGGCATCTTCCCCTTGACCCCGTACCACTACTCTCAGCCCCTATATCAATCCTTTAACCCCACTCCTACTCCCCACTACCTATCTCTAACATTCCATAGGTAATGTTAACAATTGGTTATGACAATTAAATAATTCCATTTGGCATTCCAAGATCATCTCATTTGCCCACTTAATTATGTAGTCAATTTTACCATCCCTGTTGAATACAGAGGTCTTGCTTGCGTGATATTAATATCATATTTTTGTTGTCCCAGAAGCCTGGTTATGTGATTAGAATGACAAAGACTTGTATGTTATTGCAGGATATCAGTTTCTGAAATGTGATTGTCCTCCTCCTGCAATGATGAGGGTAGCTTAGGATTTATACCAAAAATGCTATTTTTATCTTTGTAAAGTAATTGATATCCCTATCCAAAAAATGAAAATGCAAAGAAAGTTTTAAAATATTATTAAATATTGGGAGTCCACATCGCAATAAATGTCTACAAACCTCCATATAATTATGGTAGGATGATGTTAAGTCTGTGATACTAATACCGAAATTTAAAAACATTGGAAGACTTTATAATTGATATTTTTTGTATCAGGTTTCAATTGACTGACTTTCTAAAATCGACTAGTGGGCTATGACGTTATGCAAATATATCTTTATTAATCATTAAAAAAACAGTAATGACTGTATGTTATTCAAGGGGAGAGGTATAATCTGCACACATTTTCTTGAACTCCAGAATCTCTTCCCCTCTTACTTCCAAATGTAGTTCAATTAGGAAAAAGGTTGCCAAGAGCAAGGTTGGCAACATTTGAAATTTTCACTCTTGAGTAATTGAAAACTTATTTGCATCAGCAAGCAAAACTCTTTATTTCATTTTATACTATTGCTAACAAAACATACTATTAGGGTAGCTGCATTTTGGAAAGCATTGAAAATCAGGAAACATCAGGGAATTTCTTCTTCTTGTAACTTCTTGCTATCTACTACCACGGTAGAGAGAAAGTTATGAAATGGTGCGTTAAAAATGACGAATGTTCGGCAGAAAAACACTTCTTACAATACTCTGGAAATGAAAATGTGGATAAATTCAGTTGCTAAATTTAGAGAAGAATACCTCTAACATGTGGTGTTGCCATAATCCAAGTTTTGTAGGTCGTTAATACCGAAAAATCGATTGATGGCTAAATGTCTGTCCGTCAGTCTGTGAACAACATGACGGCAAAAGCGTTCGGCCAATTTTCTCCAAAATTGATATTCCCCAATCCAGCTGGCTGTTGTCATGGGCCCTTGAATTTGAAATTGATATTTACATTTTGGGGAGTATTTTACATTAAGTCCCTTCAATATTTTCAAAATTAAAAAAAAAAAAAAAAAAAAAAAAAAAAAAAAAAAAAAAAAAAAAAAAAAAAAAAAAAAAAAAAAGCACCATCAATTTTGATTAAATTTTGTTGTTAGGTAATTGTGAAGGACATTTTACAGAATGGCACAGCTCTCATTTTGGTTAACAACATTGATTTTTCGAAAATTGAAAAATATCAAAATTTTTTAGGGGGCTTCTACAACTAAAATATTAAAGATTGAGATTTTTTTCCTTAATAAAAATCTGTTCATAAATGATATATTTTGAAATAAGATCGTTTACAATTTTTGAAAATTTGAGTATTTGTCAAGTAATTTTTTGAGTAAAATATAGGCAATTTTAAATTTTGTTAAAATTCTTTTTTCTCCAAAAACAGCTTCATTGATTTTGAGGAAATTTTCCCTTACAGATATTTGATTTCCAAGCAATTAAAGTTGCTACTTTCGATTTTGTCTCTGTTCATGCAAACCGGATTTACGGCCCACACTTATCAGCCTATTGTTTTGTAGAATACTGAGGGTAGAAAATTCAGGCCTTTGTTTTTCTTATTTAAATAGAAAATGGAATTGTATTTTGGCTGTGTTTTTGATGTCATAGTGGTGAAAGGCAAGTCTGAGATTTTCCAAATAATCTTACTGTGTCTATATGGAATTTCTAATGGCCACCCACCATACCTCTGTTATACTACATAACTGTTTGTGGATAACTATACATAGAAATTATTTGTTACACAATCACCTAATACTCTCTTACCTGCAACACAGAAAATCATTGTTTGAATCTTTCTCAACATTTTATTACATGCCAAGATAGGAGTAAAGCTTAGAATTGATCTTGGAGAATCCATAAACTACAAGTAGTTTTTATTTACTCAAAGTATTTCTTGAAGTTATGAAACAAAAATTTTGTTGATTAAAGAGATCATTAGAATGGAATCACAATATTTAAAAACAAAGAAGATTTTAATAAATTCAGATATCACGTGTGTATTGATGATCATTAAAAATGACTAAAAGTCATTATATTTCTTTAGGTTGTACATGTTGACACCCCTTTGAAATAAAGAAATTTTTGTGGGGTGAATTGCAGTTTTATTGTTGTAAGTGCAGAATAAACACAGTACAATTATCCTGAAGTGAGGAGCAAGATTTAGATATTTGTGATACTGCACCAGAAAATTGATTCAAATTAAAATTAAATCTTGATGGAAATAAGATTACTATTTTCATGTGGACTTGTTCAGCAACTATTGCTGGTTTGATTCATTTGGTTATCGCTCAAATTATTTGCACTCACTTAAGTGAAATTTCTGGAACTTGCTTGAAATTTGAAAATTAATTAATGCAATTCTAAAAACTTTGATTCCAGATGACGTATGATGGAGGCTTTACTCTCATTGAAATACTTGAAAAGAAAGGAGATACTCATAAGAAAGTTCTTGAAGGACTTCTTGCTCTCAAGGACAGTTCTGGAAAAAATGTTTTTCAGCGAGGAGGTGATGTGAATGGTAAGATACTGTACTTTCTATATAATATTATATTGTGTAAATTTTTTAAAAGAATTTTTGACTCATTGACGCATTATTTGGATTAAAGATCTTGTTATTTTTTTAAAAATTCATATGTTTATTTTTTTAATTCTTATCTGTATGCATTGATTTCAGCAAACTACTTCAAAGATTTCAAGGAGTCCATCTTACCACTATAAAGCTTGCGTGATTGTAATCACCACTAGTTTAAGTGCAAATGAATGTACAATTCTATAAATAAGCATCTTTCCATGTTTTCATGCCTACTTATAGAGGAAATTAGAAGTTATATTCCTTCTTTTATTCTTAGTGTGTTCATTAGATTTTTATCACTGTTATAATTTTCTTAATGATAGTAATTTTTTTTTCATAAGGCTTGTATGTATATATAGAGTGACGAGCTAACCTACATGAATCTGTAAAGTTGCGGGGGACCTGACATTTTGTTTTTAGTGTGTCAACCAACAGCAACATATTGATAAGCAAGTTGTCAAACATTTCTCTCCTTATTTCATATTGTTTAGGTCATATTTCATGTTATAAGAACAAACTTGTATGAAGGCAAGGATTTGAATATATTTATTTTATAAGCTTTCTTTAGAGAGCATGATCAACTTCCGGCAACATTTTGGCTGTGTTTATGTATTAAAATGATATTTTAAAGTTGTTCCCAAGACAAATATTTTTCATAACATACTTCACATTTTATCCTGAAAAAATCTTTTGTTTTTCTTTCAGTAGAGAAATTTCAGTTCTCAAAAATAACCAACTGAACAATACAATTGACAGTGAAGGAAAGATGAAATTAAGTATTTTCATTCTTTTGCAGCTCTACTGTTGTTAGAATAATGTATGCTTGTTAAAATGGTCTTCTTTGTATTTTATTGATGTTAGACTTTATTAGGCATGAATGATGTATGTAGAAATTCTATTCATGTTCCTTTAATCATGTCCTATATGGTTATGTGTAAATAAGTTGATAAATATATCAGTAAATCAAAACAAAGAATTACATAAAAAGTATAACAATTTTTTACCTTATACATACTCATACTATTTGTGAACAAAATCTTCAGATAATATGAGGATTTAATTTTAAGAAGTTTTTTAGAAAATAAATTTAAGATTGATAATTTGGTAATTTTGAGTATTGAACAAAATAACATGAATGTAAATGTATTTCCTCAAATTCATTTATGATGTTCCATGGTTTGTTAAGTGTTTGTTCATTGTTATAATTAAAAATACCCATTTTCAGGAACAAGTAATGATTTAAAAATTAATAAATTGAATGCACAAATAAAACTTGAAACATTAGCATATTTAAAAACAATATCAAATTTACCAATTTCACATTTTAATATGAGTATGGTAAGAATGGATTCATTTCATTAATCATGATTTAAAATGAACTACTGAAGGTGCTTCAAGAAAAACTAAATATTGATAGTTATTTGTTATGTTGCCTAATCAGTTTCAGATGAAAATGTTTATATCTAGTATAAATGTTTATTAATTTTAAGATATTATTACTGTTGGATTACATAAATCTATTAAACCTTTTGTTTTTGTATAACCTTTGTTAGTAGATGAACTGTTACAATAGCCTTAATGTGCTATATGCTATATGTAATAATAGATAATAGTATTGTTTGTACAACAAAATTGATTACAAAAATAAATTTTAGATTTGTGGAGAGGAAGTTTCTCAATATTTTAATTCCTCTCTTATCTTGCACAGAATTTTGTTATTTCAAGTAAATGCATATAAATAAATATTATGCTTCTGCAATTATTGTGTCTAATGATTCTTTTTTGTTACTGTAGCTTTCAAATGGAAAGAGTACAGAAGTCAATGTGTAGGTGAATTTATATAAAGCTTAATAATATTTTTATCTATATACATATAATGTTTCAACGCTGTAGTGTATGAATCAAGTTAATTTTACACATTTAATTATGAAAAATATTATGTGCTGATGCAAAACTGCAAATTTTATAATTGGTGCACTTCAAATGTTTTGAATTTAGAATTCACTATAGACAGATTGAACAAAAATATATTATGACGGAGAATTTATTTTTTGTAATGAATTTTAAACAATTCAAAAATAAACAAGTTTGCAATTGTAGAGATGTAAGAACAGTGTTTTAAAGACTTTTATTCTAGGGGATTATTATTATTAATATAATGACTTGAGTTCGGAAGTTCATGCAACTTCATAAGTTTGCCTGCAAATATACTCTAAAATGCAGAAATACGTGAAATTATCTTAAAAATGTGCAAGACATATTTACAAATTAAGTGTATCTGTAATGTAATCACAATGCACTAAAATTATATTAACCTTATATCAGAGAACATAGATGTTTATCAGTGGCAAAAAAATATTTAAGTTCATTAGTAAATTTAATTTTGAATTTTATAATTTAGCAAGAATTTTATTTTTATATCAAGTAAAGGAATCCCCCTAAGTGGTCACAAGCATTTTATATTTTATGGATGATTTCTAAATTGCATGAAAAGATTCTTTCTATTTCGGAATGTTATTGTGATATGTATTTTCTTGAAGAATTAATTCTCTTTTTTTCCAATTGTCTGAGAAAGAATCAATTTTCTCTTTTTGGAGTTGAAGTTCCTCTGACTGGGAGGTCCTAGGTTCGAGTCCTGGTGGTGGCAGGAATTTTGACATTAGCTTGCCAGCTAGTTTGAATTCACTCGCTGTCTGGAGGAGAAGGTCGGCTGCTCTAGTTGTAGGTTTCTCCAATCAACACCAGGCGTGATCTTTCATACCTATTCCTTGTCCTTTCCTCACCCTTTAACCACACGTACTTACACTAACACACTCTACACTACACATGCCAGGAGACTGGTCAGGAGGTTAGAACTTGTCGTGTTAGTGCGAGATACCTGGTTGGGGAAAACCCAGTTAGAAAACGGTAAGTCAATGCTGAATCTTGCCATCCAGCATGGAAAGACCATGGCCACCTTCCAAGCAAAACATGTACTACACTTAGAGAATTAATGACCATATTAGTTGACGGGCCCAGAATCACATTCAATCAATTTTTTTTGTTTTCCTTCTTTTGCTTTTTTCTGAAGATTCAAATTTTTGTAAAGGATATTAATAAAATGAATAAACAATTTACACCTTAAAATTTGTACACATAGATATTTAAAGTAAGATATTCAAATTAAGATTGTTTTAAACAGGTTTTGTCTCTAGACTGGTGAAAACGCAACCTATCAATTTCTTTTGCCTTTAAAATTATTCTGCAATGTCCATTGTTTAGTAAGTTATAAATTGTAAATGAAATCTTGTCAAAGGAACTACAAAATGTGCATATTATGATATCATACATATGCAAAACATTAGTCAGCTTCTAATTTACATTGGTTGGAAGAACTTTTCAAGAAATAAGAGAATTAAACTATGTTACATACTTCCCAACCTCATTTGTGATCCTATGATAGAACAGACTTGGTGGATGTTTCATAATATAAACTAGTTGAATATAACAAGTTGAGTTAAGTTTTATTTGAAACAGTAATTCTTTGTTCAAACAAATTAAAATTTGCTTTTAATAATTACAAAAATAAAATCTCTAATTTTGGTCCACAAAGGCTTCTTTGTAGTAGAATAGAAGTAGTTTCGACTTAATGGAATAAGCATTTTTTGATCTGTTGATTTTGTCATTGAAAACCCCTGTAAGCAACTCCAAGCCTATATGAGCTTCCAAATCATTCACTAAAAGTCCAGGCTGAAAGTGGCATAACTATCGTGTTGGGCTGAGTGCAGTAGTTCTAATGCCCCCTTCCCCCGCACTTCCGTGCCATTTTGAGTGGGGTTTGGCAGATGCACTCATTTGCGCCCTTGATTTCGGGGACTCTGGTGCCAGCATCAGCCCTTTGGCCAGCCAAATATCTACTTAGTAACGCAAATTCCTCATAAGATATTATGGAATCAATTCTGTTAAACTGTAGCTTTCTTCTATGAATTATCAATGAATAAAATATATTATTGAATGTTTTATTAAGTTCTAAATTGTAAATGAATCTTGTCAACGGAATACAAAATAGTGCATATTAATGTAATACAACATGTGCAAAACATTAGTCAGCTCTATTTAACATTGGCGTTGAAAAGAATTTTCAAGAAAATAAGAGAATTAACCTATGATTACAATGAAACTTCACCTCATTTTGTGATGCCTACTGATAGAACAGGCTTGGTGGCATGTTTTTCATAATTAAGAAAGAGAAAAAAATTGTTCTTAGAAACTTCTTTGAAGAATGAAGTGTTGTGTTCTTTACATATTAACCTGCATGTCGATGTTATCTAAATAAAAACAAAAAACATTGAACAATTGTGCAATTTTTCATCTAAGGTCCTGCATTCACCTGTTGTTGAGGATGTTAGTATATTTAATCTTTGCATAGTGGGAATATGAGTTTTAACACAGTGTGCAAACTTTCAATTTTTTGTAATGTTGAGAAAAATATGTCTTGTGCATTCGTGAGAAGAGAATACATGATGAATCCTAAATTAGGAATAATATCTATAATGCTTAGTAGTTTTTATTTAAACGAGTTGGATCTGAAAAAGAGTCATAAAATGCTGAGAAATGTTGGAAAAGACCTTATTGAAGACGTGTCTCACTGACAATGTATCTCTCTGTGTGAGTAATAGTGATTCAGGAGAGCCTAGATTAATTATGTAATTAATGATTTTAATATTTGCTTTTCATTATTATCCAAATAATATGTTGAATTGTTTATACAAATGGTGCTTAAAAAATGTTTATTTTTTTAGAATAACATATTCTTTATCTCTATTAGTATCTTCAATTCTGATACCTAATGCAATTCCAGCTCATGCTGCCTTAGCTCAGACTGGAGATGCTGATGTTAATTTTTTTCTGATATGCCCTCTTACTTAAAGTTAACATTTCAGAATGTCTGGATAAATGTCCGTAGTCTTCTAATGCAAAGTATTTGATTGTGCACATACATTTATTAGTAAAATTCTGAAGGTGCACATCATTAAACACTAAATAGGCAACGCGTGGCACGCACACCGCACCACACACACACACACACACCACCAATTAGACATTTGTGCAATATCAAAGAATGTGCATTTTTGATCTTTCAGGCAACCTTGAATTGTTTTTTGGCCACTACTTGGAAATTATTCGTTAATTATAACTCTATGAATTCTATTTCTGACATTTTAGAATTTTGTTCTTTGTTACTGAGAATGTTTTTCAAAATAGCGGTCCTTCAAAATAGCACAGATTTTTCTTAACTAGTTATTTCCAGACTGGGCCAATTATTTCGGTTTTTGCCCGCTTAGCTGTCATCTATTGGCACCTAAAACAAATTTTTCTCCATTTATTCATTTTTGGGAAACTATTAGTAGAATTTAACATTATTTTTAGATTGATTATATAAGGAAACATGCCACGATAGTGTGACATGCCATTTGAAGGATGTCGAATACCCCTCTGGGCGCAACGTTCGGCGGGCTACGTAGAAGAGAGACTCAACATTCGAGGGCTACGTTTCAGGGATATTTTAGCACAGACACGAATTAATTGCACTTTTGTATATGATGAAAAGTGGCCGCGAAATAAATGTTTTCATACTTTATTTATTCTAAAGCACACTTTAGCTCATTCGCTAAGGTAATGGTAAATTTTACTTCAAATTGTTTTCAAACAGAAAAGGATAGAGATTTACCGTTGTGTGGATAAAATGGTGCTGTTTTCTTTCACGTAACGTACTTATACGGAGTAATATACGTAGAATAGGGTGTTGTTTTACATAATCCTTCGGAATCGATTTCGGATGTAAGGGAAAATACTGTTTTGGGGTCCCTGAACCGAAAATAGTTTTTTTTTTCTCAAAACATCGTCCGTTTAATGCCTCGACGATTAGAAACTGCAAGAACAGTTCTCTTTGCGGATGATACGAATATTTTTGCACTAAAGAAACCGTAATAGTACAATATTCAATATACTCAATAATTCAAATTGGTTCCGTAATAATTAATAGTAAATGAATGAAACTGTTTCTACAACTCCAACTAATAATGAACAGTATGCCATTGACTGTGTTAAGGTATCAAAATTTTAGGTCTTTCAATTCAGTCAAACCTTAAATGAAACTTCCATTTAAATGAATTGAATACTAAATTAAGTTCTTTATGCTACGTTTTCAAAATTCTTTCAAATTCAGTCAGCCTCCATACTGCTTATTGTGTATATTTCGCGAATGTTCATTCCCGCCCAAGGTACGGCATAATATTCTGGGGAAATACATCTTATAGCTTCCAGACTTTTAGATTACAAAAAATAATTGTATGAGTAATAAGTAAATCCCACCCACGTGATTATTGTATGTCTGTCTTTATTAATTTAGGTACTTTGTCTCTTTATATATGAATCAGTGGTTTTTATCAAAAATGACTTACTTAAGAGCGATAATATATTTTCAGCAAACGCCGTTGTCTATAACTACAGCACTCGACGTAGTAATCATATTCATCAGGTGACAGAATCAACAGCTCATTACAAAAATTTCACATTTAATACATGTCCATTATTTTACCCCACCTTGCCAGATGACATTACACGATGAAATTCGATGCAACTGTTTAAGTCCCAAGTAAAATCTTTTCTGCTGCACAACGTTTTCTATACAATTAGAGACTATACTGAGCATTCAAAAGGAAAGCAATATTAATTTTAACAACGACATTTAGTGTATTATTTACGATTTCGATTGTATAATTCTAAAGAACCTGTAACAAGTATTGCACTTCAGCTTCTGGGTGACCCCCATCTCTATCAGGTTTTCGTCCAGTTTCCCTAATACATTGAGCAAATGCTGAAATGGCCCTTGTTTTGCTTCTGGACATAAATGTAGCTTCAAATTAACGTTTCCCCATTGCACGTCACGCACAGTTTTTAACAGTTTTTGACGTAAATAAATAAAAAATAAAGAAAATATCAAGAACCCAAAAGGAGAAAGACTTCCAATTGTTACATTTGGGGACTGCCAACAGCTCATCGGGTTTCCAAAATCGCGGAATTCTTCTGGTAAAGAGCACATTAACGCTGAATGGAATGTGTTAACGCACTTAGGTATCGAAGACAATGTCCTTCTTTGTTGTCATCCAACTACATCAAACACTTGACGTTTTGAAGGAGCGGGCAACTTTCTTGAAAAAAATTTGGAAGGAAATTGTTGTTCTTTTCGTGTCATCATCACATATACGAACTTATTTTACAATGTGTGTTTGACTTTAAAATACGTAATGTTAGCAAACAATCCTGACACCACGTTTTTAGTATTTTAAGAAAAGCTGGGAATGAGTTAATGTCATTAATGTTTAAAGTGGAAAAGATAATGTGGAAATGTCCTTTAATGAGACCAAAATTAAAGAAATGATGGACTTTTGTGAAAGTAACAAACTGAAGAAACATTTTCCCGGGGCGATGCATCGAGCTTGATTGATCGCAAGAGGTGTGTAAAGTAATGTTTAAAACGATTCTGCTAAGATCAGAACCTAGACGAGTGTAATTAAAAATTCCTTAAAACATGTCTCACTGTTGATTGTAATTATTTATGTCAAATCGTGGCTTTTGTGCAGTTCAGTTGTAAAAGCTGCTAATCAAGATATCTGCTTTTTAAAAGTTCTAAGACCACATGAAAAGATAGATTTCATAATTTCAAAAGCAGCTTTAAAAATGTAAGTCACCGTATATTGTATTTATTAGAAGAATTTTTTGTCGAATTCTTTGATGATGTAGACGTACAAATGAAAATCAAAATGGTAGCAAATTTAGCATGAGAAGCTCTACACATGGAAGAGTGATATATTCCTCAATTTCTGTTGGGTTGTTCAAGATCGTTCAGTGTACCAATATGGCAAGAAAGAAGCACTGAAAAAAAAATCCACAAAAAAGTTAAAACCGTAACACAATCTCAAGAGTGAAAGTCAAGAGTGAAAATGAATTAAATTGTAATATAATATTATATATTAAACGTGTATCAGTAGTAGATTTTCACAAATTTAACACAACAAAACCAATGATCCCTAAAGTTAAAATTTCGCGCTGAAGTCGGCACGGGTTAATATCGGTCTATTGAGGTGAAATGTTATTTTTGAGTAAATTTGACCCAATGGAAAATATTTAGAGGGTGAGCCCAAAAAATTTGCAAAAAAATTTTTAGCAATATTAGAGACAGCCTATTCTGGGCAAGACTATTTCACCATACCACGCTCTTGGATCTATTATTGTATTAATTCATTGGCTCTATGCTTCAACATTGGGTCTTTTGTTGCGCAACCAGTGGGTGAGGGTCTTGTCGCCGAGCGCCATAGATGAATAGATAAATCTTTCGCTGTTCGGTGTACGAGGGGAATACCAATTTTCTGTCTTCGTCTCACTCTAACTACAACTTAATTTTTGAAATTGTTTTTCGCATTGAAAGTGTAAGATTTGAGTCAATTATTAACAGTATTAAATGTATTATTTATGGTGTTTGAAGAATTTATTTTCGTTCGATATTACGTTTTTGATTCATAATGTACATTTGATGAGTCCTTTGGGTAAAGTTGGCCGTACTGCAAGGAAGTGCCTTTCCGTCCGTTGTAATACTGTATGTTTCCGACACTCAGGTTGGGGCCGTGTTTCCAACTTCAGTTACAACCGAGTTACAGGCTGGGGGCGATGTGAATATGAGTGTATGGATGATTTTTCATTATTACAAGGTATACCAGAGTAGTGACATTTTCCAAATGAAGTGATTTTATTTGTGTAAACGTGTCGTGTCGCTACAGTACGTAACAACGATATCATTAAGAAATGTCCATCATATATTACCGGAATTAATGTGTGTGTGTCTACATATATATATATATATATATATATATATATATATATATATATATATAAAACGTTTATATATTATGTACGTGTATACGGAATAATATACGGTGTATAGAGAAAGTTATATAATGCTGCAGAAAATCGATTTCGAAATTTCAACGGAAATACACATTTTGAGGTCCCTGATACCGAAAAAATGTTGTTTTTTTAAACGTATGTCCGTCTGTCTTTTCGTCTCTCTGTCCGTCCGTCTGTGAACACCACACGTAGGATTTTTTTCCAAAAAGGATATTCCCCGGTCGACCTAGCTTGACTCGAGGCGCTGCGAATTTGAAAAACTTTCTTTAAAATTTTTCAAGTACTTTACATAAAACCCTAGAGACATTTTCAAAATTTTCTCAAAAAGAGATCCAATTTTTTTCTTTAAGGTGTGTGGGTACCATGAAATGGGTCGATTTTGAAATAGGGCAAAATACAGAAAAAGTGTTTTATTTTCGAAACGTCCGTCTGTGTCTCTCTGTCCGTAATTAAAATCTTTAAAATTTGAGGGTACTTTACATAGCCTCCCGAACATTTTCAAAATATTCTTAAGACAGCTCCAATTCTTTTCTTTAAATTCCTTGTAAAAATGAGTAAAATATATTTATAAGTGGCATAAGTCCGATTTTCAGGTTTAACTCTGGATTTTCGAAAATTTCAAAATTTCAATTTTTTGGGGTCTTTTTACAACTACAAAATTGAAGGTAGAGATTTTTCCTTCAAATAAAATTTGTTTTCCAAAGTGAGTTCTTTCATTAAGGTCATATGCATTTTTTGAAAAAATTTGTCGTTTTCGCGCAATATTGCAATTTTAAAAAATTAGAAAAACAAGATTTTCACAAAAACGGCTTCAAATTTTTCTTTAAACTTTTCGTAGGGATAGTGCTAAATGTATTATATAATATGGCATAGACGCCATTTGCTCTAATCTTTTGGTCTTGCAAGAATTACAAACATATACTTTTTTGACTTATTTCTCTTAATATTTATATTAGCGGCAATTTGTTCACATTGTTGTATTTGTAAACACTATTGTAATTGTTAGGTAATATACTTCAAATGACTTCGAATGAAGTTTTTCAGAAACTGAAAAATAGTATGTGAGCTTAAAAGAGCTTCAAATTTTGAATTTACAGTAGGGCTTAAACGCCTTTGCTTTAAAGTCTCCAATTTTTTCAAAGAATTGCCATTTAGGACGAGGTTTCACTGTTATTTAATATTATTAAAATAATATTTCGGTTCTACTATTAGGAAACCGAAATATTAAGATAATTAAAAAAAACAAAAAAACTGTACTTTGGGCGGCGATAGATGGCAGCTGGCAAGAGATGTGGCAAATCTGAGTAGCTAGCCGAGACCATAGGAAATAGAAAACTAATAAAGAAAGTCTGTGCCATTCTGTGACACCACTAGTTTTATACTGCATGTAAGTGTGAGGAGTGTATATGCTATTATTTTGTAATTTTTTACTGATGTTCGGTTGTTAATGAGTTATGAAACATGCTCTTGATCACATGTTGATAGCATTGGTCTCTGAAGAAGATGATCCAGAGCAAGAATATTCTAGTAGAGCAGCGGCAAGTTCAGACGTTTGCAAATGCCGTTTCTCGAAAATGTACTTATTTTGTAATTAATGTACCTTTTCTCAGAAACAATTATTCGCAATTTATTGAAATTTACAGGATACATTCTTTATAGTATTGACAATAAACTGATATTTTTATATAAGCATTCTTCAATAATAAAAATATGCAAAATTATGATTGTTCAAAAATGTAAAAAATATGGCAAATGTAATAATTGAAAAAAAATGCAAAATAATTTTTAATCAACTAAAACAAATGTCAAAATAAAAAAATTACCTTTAAGTGTGTTAAATCTATTTTTTTTAGTTAACCATTTCCTAAAAGGTACACCAATAGTAACTAAATTTAACATGGGTGGTATACATGGAACCCTCTCCCCTTAAGTTTTTTGAAAGAATAGAGTAAAACACATTGATATAGATGGCTTGTTTTTTTTCACTATTAACTCAGAATTTATGAAACTTTTAAAAGTTTGAATATTTTCAGCTTCTTTCTACTATTACAAAATTGAAGATAGGAATTTTTCCTTCGATAATTTTTTTCTTTGGTTCTTTCATTAAGGTCATGTACATATTTGGATACCTTAGGTAGTTTTCACGCAATATTCCATGTAATATGTGCAACATTAAAAATAATAAAATAAAGATTTTCTCGCAAACAACTTCAATTTTTTTCTTTAAAATTTTGGTACAATAGAGCTAAATGTATTTTATAAGACAACATAAATGTCGCCCTGCTCAATTTTTTTTGTTTTTTCAAAAATTACACAAAACTGTAATTAAAAAAATTCTCATGCCGTTAATATGCACATTTTCAGTGATTGGTTTACATTATTGTATTAGTGAGTTAATGCACTTGAAATAACTTCCAATGAAGTTTTTCGAAAACTCAAATATTTTCTGTGAAGTCTAGCTTCAAATTTCGCATTTACAGTAACGCTTGAACGCCATTTTGTTAAAATCGGCTTCAATTTTGTCAATGAAAATTGCCATTTTGGACAAAGTTTTACTCTTCTTTAATATTCTTAAAGTAATATTTAGGTTCTACTATTCGGAAACAGAAAAATTGAGAAAATGTAAAAAAAATGTAGTTTGGGTGGCAATATGGCGGGTATGTCACAGGTCCGAACGGCTATCCCAGAGTATAGCAAGTTGAAAACTAATACGATAAATTCTGTGCTATTAGGTAGCGCCACTAATTATTTTCTCGTTTACGTACGAATGTACGGAGTCCAATGCAAAACGTAGGTTAAATATTTTGGGGGCCCTAAGCACACGCCGAGGCTGATTGCATTGAGCCTCCCCGATGCTCTGCACGGCGAACAGCGAAGCGCGTCGACGCCACGGGGTGAGGGGCGAGGGCGCGGGCGCGGGCGGGCGCGGGCGGGCGCCGATGCGCTGGAGGGC